TGGTTTTGTAAAATGTTATTCCAGTTGTAAACTGGAATAACATTTCAACTAAACAAAACACTGCTAAATACTGACATTTGATAAAAAGTTGCCTTCTATAATTTCTGTAAATTGTTCTTGTTCTGAAAAAGGTATAATGATAACAATTTCTAAACAACAACAAAAAAGAAAATAACAATTTTTTAACCTGGGGAATGGTATTTCTCAAAACCTTCTCACAATCATGCTTAAAACAAGATACTAAAACTATTTCCAGGGGCTGGCAGGTGGGGCGGTGGTTAAGGGTCCTGAACTCCCACATGGTCGACTGTGCTTCTAGTCTTGGACCTGGGGGCTTGCTTTCTCACTTTCTCTCTCTCACTCTCTGTCCCTCTCTGGTCAAATTAAGATAAGTAAATGAAGTTAAATAATTCTTAAAAATTAAAAAATAAATAAATAAAACTAATTCCATTAGGGGCCAGCAGGTGGCATGGTGGTTAAGGTGTTGGACTCCCACATGGCCAAAAACAGTTCAAGTCCCCAGACCCAGCGGCTTGAAAATCATGCAGGGCATGTGTGCATGTGTGTGTGCCCAAAGTCCCAGGAGGAAAATGGAGAGGGGATTGCAGTGTGGCCATCCCCCCTGGAGGGGGGAGTGATTTCTTACTTTCCCTTTCACTGTCTCTTTCTGGTGAGTACATGCACCCTGTGGCAAAAACCTTTAAAAACAACAGTTTCCATTAAAGTCAGAAAGGTCTGCTTGCTTTCACCATTAATCAGTGTTCTTCCAGACGTCCTAGTCGGGTAAGAGAACCACAAAAGAGAAAGGGGGAGGGACCAGCAGCTAGCGTAATGGCTATGTTGCTGGACTCCCATGTGGTTGACCGCGGTTCGCATCCCGGACCCGGTGGCTTAAAACTCATGCCGGGCGTGTGTGCGTGCCCGCCCAGGATCCGGAGAGGAGAATGGAGGAGAAGGGATTGCGGCGTGACCATCCCCCCTGGGGGTGTGTGATTTCTCGCTTTCTGTCCGTCTGGCGAGCACACGTGCCCTATAGCAAAAATCTCTCCAAAATAAAAAAGAGAAATGAGGGTGGTCCAAGGACCCGAGAGGTGGGGGTGATGCCAGACCGCACTTACGCTCCTGGGTCTGGCATGGTGCCGTTGCAGTGGACTGGGAAGTGGCTGGGTTTCTTCCTTCATTCTTTTCAGGTGTCCTGTCCCTCAGCTGTTCCTGCCCCGACACCTCAGAATGTTGGGGGCACACTGCAGACAGGCAGGGCTTGAGGACTTCAGTCCTCCTCCTGCCCAAGCCTGCGCCTGGGCAGACCCTGTAGGAGGGACCTGTTTATCCGGTGGTGGTGGGAGGACTTTGTCCTTAAGACTCAGAAATCACCCGGATGTGCCCTGGTGAAGCAGAAATGCCTTCCAGGCTGGTCTGAGCCACATCGAACACAGTTCTCTTCGGTCAGGTCAGACAACAACAAAAAAGAAAATAACAATTTTTTAACCTGGGGAATGGTATTTCTCAAAACCTTCTCACAATCATGCTTAAAACAAGATACTAAAACTATTTCCAGGGGCTGGCAGGTGGGGCGGTGGTTAAGGGTCCTGAACTCCCACATGGTCGACTGTGCTTCTAGTCTTGGACCTGGGGGCTTGCTTTCTCACTTTCTCTCTCTCACTCTCTGTCCCTCTCTGGTCAAATTAAGATAAGTAAATGAAGTTAAATAATTCTTAAAAATTAAAAAATAAATAAATAAAACTAATTCCATTAGGGGCCAGCAGGTGGCATGGTGGTTAAGGTGTTGGACTCCCACATGGCCAAAAACAGTTCAAGTCCCCAGACCCAGCGGCTTGAAAATCATTCGTGGCATGTGTGCATGTGTGTGTGCCCAAAGTCCCAGGAGGAAAATGGAGAGGGGATTGCAGTGTGGCCATCCCCCCTGGAGGGGGGAGTGATTTCTTACTTTCCCTTTCACTGTCTCTTTCTGGTGAGTACATGCACCCTGTGGCAAAAACCTTTAAAAACAACAGTTTCCATTAAAGTCAGAAAGGTCTGCTTGCTTTCACCATTAATCAGTGTTCTTCCAGACGTCCTAGTCGGGTAAGAGAACCACAAAAGAGAAAGGGGGAGGGACCAGCAGCTAGCGTAATGGCTATGTTGCTGGACTCCCATGTGGTTGACCGCGGTTCGCATCCCGGACCCGGTGGCTTAAAACTCATGCCGGGCGTGTGTGCGTGCCCGCCCAGGATCCGGAGAGGAGAATGGAGGAGAAGGGATTGCGGCGTGACCATCCCCCCTGGGGGTGTGTGATTTCTCGCTTTCTGTCCGTCTGGCGAGCACACGTGCCCTATAGCAAAAATCTCTCCAAAATAAAAAAGAGAAATGAGGGTGGTCCAAGGACCCGAGAGGTGGGGGTGATGCCAGACCGCACTTACGCTCCTGGGTCTGGCATGGTGCCGTTGCAGTGGACTGGGAAGTGGCTGGGTTTCTTCCTTCATTCTTTTCAGGTGTCCTGTCCCTCAGCTGTTCCTGCCCCGACACCTCAGAATGTTGGGGGCACACTGCAGACAGGCAGGGCTTGAGGACTTCAGTCCTCCTCCTGCCCAAGCCTGCGCCTGGGCAGACCCTGTAGGAGGGACCTGTTTATCCGGTGGTGGTGGGAGGACTTTGTCCTTAAGACTCAGAAATCACCCGGAGTGCTTATCCTTGCGGATTCAGTAGACACCGTGGCCTTCAGCTGCCGGTGCCCTGGAATCCTGAAGCAGAAATGCCTTCCAGGCTGGTCTGAGTCACATCGAACACAGTTCTCTTCGGTCAGCGACATCTCAGGGGACATCTAAACAGATGGCCTATGTCTGTGAAGACACACGGTTACAATGGCACGTCCACGTTGTCAAGCACCCTTGGCACTGGAGAACAGGCACCTGCCAGAGTGCCAGGCCCTGAGGCGTGGCTACGCAGAGCCCAGAGGGTGGTGCGCCTCAGGGCTGCTGCGGAAAGACCTCCTTGGTGGGCAGGAACACGAACCCACTGAATGTCATCCTCTCCCAGGGTCACCCTTTTCTACAGCATAAACGCTGCTGTGGGGCAGCCTTGGGCTGCAGCCCTGGTCTGAGGACAGAGCCTGAAGCTCTGACTCCTTTGACCACACTAGACCACGAGGCGAAACACAGCCAGCCAGCAAATGGAATCCCATTTAAAAAATAATTACTTAATTTTATTTATGATTATTTTAAAATTTGTTACAGGGCACATGCACTCACGAGAGATGTGGCAGTGGAGGGGTGCAGTGTGCAGTGAGAAAGCAAGCCACTATGTTTGGGACTCGAACCGTGGTCGGCCATATGGGAGTCCAGCATCTTAACCACCATGCTAAGACTTAAATGCCCTTTTGCTTCCTGCAGATTATTCTGACGTCTCGGAGAACATCAATGTTTACATATGGCTTCAGCCAGTACCTTAACATTTGTATAGAGTAAATGACTTGCTGACAATAAATTAAAAAAAAATTTTTTTTTGAGAGGTTTTTGTTATAGGGCAGACGCGCTCTCCAGAAAGACAAAGACAGAGAGAAAGTGAGAAATCACTCCCCGGGGGGACAGTCATGCTGCATTCCCATTCTCCTCTAGGGATTTTGCACACATGCACACACGACTGGCTTGAGTTTCAAAGCTGCTGGGTTCAGGACTCGAACTGCATTCGACTACGTGGGAGTTCAGTAACATAACCATTATGCCATCTGCTGGTCCCTCAGCCAGTTTCTTAGGACTAAAGTTATTCTGAAGTTTTGGATATATGAAGGCTGTGAGAATATAATCTTGATCATCATATTCTTTCTTTCCACCTCTGGATTTCTGATTTCCAAGTTTGTGGCTTATTTCTTATCTTTGAGATTTGAAGATTCTGGACACTATGCTCACTGCACCGCAGACTGCCCTGCCCTGCCCTCTGGCCTTGGCTAATTGTCTAGAGAGAACACTGGTTTGTTGGTCACCCTCTCTACAGGAATCGGTATGTTCTTTTGAGCAGCATTTCCGTTGGCATACCCAGCACTAAGCCAACACAAATCCTCCTCCTGCATGAACTTTGCACCAACTTCTGCCGAATCCCTGGTACCAAAAGCCGGGCCAGTTAAATGAATATTTTGTAAATGTCTCCTGGAGCAGAGGTGGCTAACTGGGAAGGGTGGGGACTGGAGCATGGATGGGAGCAGTATGCTTGTGTGTGTGGGCACCTGAGTGAGTGCCGCGTGTGCATGCACATACAAGTGGTTTGTGTGTGCCCTCCTAAGTGAAGGCGAGGCTTGCCAAGCGGTCTGTACCAATGCCTACGATATTTCCCATCACCGTTCTCTAACAAATGGCCGATCTTACGCTCTTACAGATATTTTATATAATAAATTCCCAGCCCGAAATGCTTTAAGTTTTTCTTTTGCTTTTATTACAAGCATATAATATTAATTGGCAAAACACTGAATACAAGCTTCACTATCATAAAATCAAAACATTTAAGCAATATTCCAAAAAAGATTTTAGACAAAAACTAGCCACCAATAGTACAAAAATTACACACCAACACAAAGCATAAAAAATGTAAACTTTCAAATTAAACAGTCAAAAATATGTATCTGCATTATCATTTCCATAAACCGTGATAGCTTTCATCTGTTTGCCAGACACCGATGATAAAGGCTTAGTGGTTCGACTATTATTGTCCCTTAACCCTACATTAGTTTCATTTGGGAAAAAAAATGTGTTTCTGATCTCCAATTCAATTACTGGAATAGACACCGACACTAAAGCTACACACTCACACCTGAGCCCATTCTTCACACACTCTGTGGATCCGAGTGAATTACACTTGAGGGCGGAGACGGACGAGGCGGCCCCGCTCAGCACAGCCCCGCTCAGCGCGGCCCCACACAGGGCCTCCGGCTCGAGCTGGCGGGCAGCACCTCGCGCGGCCCCTGCCTGGCAGGGGACACAGCATTTGTAAAAATGATGGTATAATTTGAAAGATCGTGTTCTAGTCTACTTACCCCAATGTATTTACCTAGTTCATCTAAATATCAAGGCAGAGAAATACATTTGTTTATCATGTTAAGGTCACATGTGATGTGGTGGAACTTAAATGACTTCCTGAGGAAACAGAGAAATTGGATCTGTGTGTGTGATTTAGCTATCTGCACTAACTTTATTTCCAATGTTAGAAAGCACATTAAATATTCATGTACAATGTAGAAATCGGCTGGCTCGCTCCTAGAACATTCAACCCAATGACACATTTCAAATCACTGTACAATGCCATCCTGTGCACTTTCAGAGGGAAAAAAAATTCCAAAGATTGTGAGTGCCATGAACAGGCATCAGAAGCCAGTGCCCTGCGGCTCGAGGGCCCCGTGAAGGGTAGCACCATCACGCTGTGGTCTGAGGCCACGTGGTCCCCACCCCCACGGTGACTCAGCCATGAGCACATGGGGTCTGAGGGCACCAGGACCCAGCCAGGATTCCAGAGGCTCCACAGGGTGGCCACGAGGCCAGTAGAGGTCGGCACCACTCACGCCACTTCCTGGCTGCCGACATGGCCGCTTGCTTTTAAATATTGCTGACAGGTATTCATGTGCGTGCGCGTGCGCACACACATGCACACGCGCACACACATGCACACACGCACACACACACACCCAATAATAGCATTCTTATAATAATAATAAAGGAAAAACCAAATAGCTGAATGTACATATTTTGAAATTCCACCTATATTCCCTTTCAGTTTAGCAGAATAGATGCTACATTACAATTTAAACAGATGTCTAATAAATGTGTTGGAATCTATTGCACAAAAGCATAAAAATGCTCTTCATCCATATAAAACAAAAACATACAAATTAAAAGCTACTCAAAGTAAAAAGAAGCTTGCAAAACATCTCACAATTTCATTTTATATGCCTGTAAAGAAAGCTGGACCACTGAAACCAAACAACTGGATGGGAAAATATGATAGAAGGCTTAAAATAGAATAAATAATTTTATAAAGTTAAGTTTTCTTTTTTTAACCCCCCAAATCTTAAATTCAATATTATATATTCTATCTGAATTTTCTATTTTCATGAAAACTGTATCTCGTGAGACCATATGCTGGCAATCAGTCCCACTGCTGTCAAAGATGACGCGGTAAGGTAATCTAACAGCATTTGTTTTACCAGCATAAATAGTTGTGAAAACTACTTCACAGTAACTCCATCTGCTAAAAACAAAACAAAACAAAACAAAACAAAACTTAAAAGAGGATCCAACCATTAACTGATCCTGACTTTCATGCTGGGGAAAAAAAAAATTAGCCTTTTGATGTTAAATGAGAGCTTGACAGAAATGAAAGGACACCACCCGGAAGCTTCCATCTGGTGGCAGGCGCTCCAGTCCTTTAAACTACGTAAGGCTACAGAGTCAGACCAAAGAGGCAGAAGGTCACCAGGGAAACAGTCCTGTAGTGGAGACAGTCTGCAAGGTGAAATCTTAGAAAAATAGGTACTTTTGCTGCTGAGGTTTTGTCAGGTTAACACGATTACAAAAGCAGGATTACACAAGAAGGGTCAGCAACCAGCAGGAGGCGTTAATACTGGCTTCCACTTATCCCCGTCTCTCTGAATATTTAAATATATCAACTTAGCACCATAGCAAAGTCAAGTGATTTCAAAGATAGCTACAAAGTTACAAATATATATTATGAGATTATTACAGCGGTATTAAATTTAATCTGAACTGTGGATTCGATTTATTAGAATTTGGAGGCGCATAACTGTTTCATCGTTCTTTAGTTTCACCACACAGGAAAATACCTAAATTCTAGAGTTTACTTAAAACTGCACTGTGATAATATATGGTTTTACAGAATGCTTCAGCAGTATGCATACTTTGAGGTAGACAGGTAATATTTACTCATACATCTACTCATAAACCCTTGTATAGGAACTCTCAAAAATGATTTGGATGAATAGCAAGCTTAGGTAACTGAATAATTCAAAAAGTCAGGGGACTTAAAGGGCTTAAACAGGTAAATTTTGACCAATTCCTAACCAAAAAAACCCAAAAAACCCAAAAACACAATTTTTTTTTTCAGGGTTTTAAAAAGGCCTTACGTTAAGAATCACTTGGATTGAATAAATTTGCACGTTTCCCCGTCACTAAGACTAGGTCTCACTAGTAGCTGCTTCTGGTGTTTAGAGCGTATGAACGGGAAGCAGAAGGAAACCGAAATGAAACTGACTGCAAATGAGCCCGACCATAACTTTCAAAGCAAATTCAAGAAAAAATTCTAGCCACTGAGGTGAAATACTTCATGGAAAATCTAGCTCTCAGGGACACCACCAAACCCTCCTCTATTTAACACAAGCCACGGATGGCAGCGGTCACCACCTGCCGTCCCCGTCTTGGTCACACCGAAGTTCATCCTGGAATGTCACAGGGAGGAGGGCCCTGAAAGGTCAACATGGGGAACAGACAGGAACACCTGGGTGGGGAGTACAAGGCACTCCAGGATGACGGTCCCACCGCCGGGGCTGGCTCCTTTCTCCTCACGCCTGCCTTTCTGCACTGAGTGCCAGTTCTAAATGAACAACTGTCTGTGGCTGGCGGGGCTTATTCTCCGATTCGACAGAAACGTTAGCATGTGGGAGAGGGGGAAGAGCTCTTACTGCCTGTGGCCAGGATTCTGGCAACTTCTCTTGAGTGGGGCTGGTTCCTCTGAGTCACTTGGCCCCCCAGTCGAGCCCCAGCCCTACCACGCTCAGCTCCAAAAACCACCTTCCCCACCAACGGCCACCAAAAACATGAGCCATTTCCATCAACAGAGATGCCGGTAGAACCATGGAAATGGCCCAACGAAGGGATGGGGTGTGTCTGTCACACCTGAATCTTCGCCAGACCTTTCCCACAGGCTGCCAGGCGCGCCCTCTGAGGGGCCTCAGGAGAGCACCTGATGCACGTGCACAGCGCCCCCTTCAGCACAACGAAAACAGCAGAGAACGGGCAGAATGCAGCGAGGCTCTTGTTGACAAGTGATGAGGAATAAGGATTGTTCTGCCGGCCGGAGTGGAGCTGGCCAAACCACCCCTGGCCTACCTGGCTGGGCAAGCTGGACAGACACCAGGGCATCAAGTCTGGGGTGAGACGGGGGAAGGAGCCCTTCCTGCCTGGCCCTATGCTGACCGGCCTAGACCGCCGCACTGCACAAAGCTGGCAAGGTTAGGAAGCTGCTGTCTTTGCTGTGTTTTGTAAGATGGAAAATTAAATACCATGGTTAAACCAAAATAGTAATGGAAACCTCTTTTGGTATGCTTTTAAATTAAAATTTTATATATCCTCTGTCTTCAGGAAGCTAAAGGCAACATAAATATAGTCATTCACCTTGAAAAGATAGTTTTTCAATAACTTAGGAAGGATTCGATAACAAGTACAAGTATTTTTGAGGTTTATCATGAAAGTAATTCATAAACTAAACGGAAATGAACTCAGATTTCAGGACCTGGAAAGCAAGCGAAGATGATCTGTGTCAGGAGGGTGACTTTGAAAGATGTGTCGCCACGACATTGACTACTCTGGCCTGTGAATCTGAAGCAGAGATGAGCACTATTCGCTACGTGAAACTGTGAAGTGTTTTCATCCTCTGTAAACGTGGTGCTGGTAGTGTCTTGTCGAGTGTGAATTCTCTCTCATACAAAAGTTATAAATATTCTCTATTCAGAAATCCGGTCCACACGACACCCAGAGGCAACATTCTGAAGCGCGGTCGCCGTGAGAACCGTCCGCTGGGAGCACACGGGGGTGCGAGGGCCAAGTCTGCTGGGTGCCCAGAGCCATGCCCGCTCACAGCAAGTCCATCTTGGGTCTGTAGTGCAGCAGGAGAGGAGCCTTCTGGAAGACAAAGACCACACAGAGCAGGCTTCTTAGGGGCGGGCGATGAGAAAGAGACAGACACGGGCTGACTCAGCAGAAATGCATTTGCGAAACACTAGGACACGTGGTGGCACCAGTCCGGTCCTGGGTGATGTGGACTAGGGTGGGACAGAGGCCACAAAGAACAAGCCCCAGTTCCTTGGTCCCAGGTAACCTGGGGACCATGCTGGGCCTTCCCGCCCACTCTTCCTCCCTGTCGCTCCCTTCTCTGCCCTCTCCTGCATCTCCCTCCAACCCTCTGGCCCCGGCCTTGGTCAACTCCAATTGCCCTCTGTCTCTTCTCCTCCCTGGGCGGTGGAGTCCGCTGGCAGGAGGGTGAGGAGGTACCACCGCCAGCCCTGAGGATGGGAATGCTGCCATAGGCGTCCCTCAGACAGAGGAGTCCGACACCTTGAGGTGCTCTGACTGTAGTGGCCTCGGCCTCCCTGGCTCGTCACAGAGCTCAGGGCTTGTCCCTCTGTCTGGTCTCCTGGACCAGGACCGGGGTGCAGAAACGTGCCTGACTGGGGCCTCTGTGCCTTCCCAGGGGAAAGGCCAACCATCACTGTAGGAAAACCCCTGTGACAGGTCGGATTGCCGCTCTTCAGCTCTTAGATAAAAGACGTTCAGAAATGTAACGGCCATTTAGGGCAGATTCTGAAAACCAAGTGAACATCATTACAGAGTGACACGCCTCACCTTGAACCTCCACCTCGTGACAACCACAAATTTGAGTGTGTGGTCCTTGCCCAGGATCTCCTCGTTGCATAAGATGTCCAGCTGGGGGGAGAAGAGGCTTGGGTTAGGGGACGGAGGACACTGCTCAGCACACACAGCCTCTGTTTACACACGTGACGGCGTGACACAGGAGGAGCAACTGCCAAGTGTCCTTGAAATGCAGCGCCCTCCTGCACCAGGTAAGGATGGGCAGATGCAGAAATGAGGTTTGGCTCATGTATTTGTTTATCTTTGCTTCGTGCCAAAAAGGAAATGAGGTGCAACACATAAGCTTGATGTCAGAAACGCTCCTGTGAGGACCAGCTCTTCCTTCAAAGGGTCGCAGCCCAGGTGGGACCCCGAGTGGCCTGGAGCACCACGGTGGTCCTACAGATGCTCCTCGCAGGAGACAACACCAGGGCGCCTTCCTAGCCCTCGGAAGGGCAGGCTGTGCACAGCTGCGGGCTTCCTGCTTCTTTGTCCTTCAAGGCCTAGGGCTGGGCTCCCTCCCGAGGCCTCCTCACTGCACCTCCATGCCCAGTCACTCCCACCACCTCCCGCACGGTTTACATCTGAGCTGCCAGCACCAAGGGCCTCAAGAACCCTGAGTGGTTCTGTCGGCTAACGAGCTGGGGACCCTGCACGGGGTCCTGCTTCAGGGCCAAGAGTGAAGGGCAGAGGGCCCAGTCCAGGCCCGGCACCCTGGGGCAGCCGCTGTCTTCACCCTGCACAGCGGGAGACCTCGGGCCACACCCACCATGAGAGGTCTCCATCCACGCCCATCACACACCATTCCTCTCCCTTCGCCAAGCCTGTCCCTCTTGCGGCGGTGGAAAAAGGTAATGGGCTCCCAGATACCTTTTTGTTCTGACTAAGGAGACTTTACTTCTCAGGGCCATTTTAGGACAAATTATGCAGAAGAAACAGTTCCCACCTGTCCCGTACGGCCTCCCCGACTGCCAATACCCCCCAAGCGGTGCTTGTTGGCTGCTAAGGTCACACTGCCATGGGAGTGGCAGGCACAGGTGCCATGTGCTCCAGGTCTGACCAACGTGTAAGACGCGTATCCGTGCTGGTGTCACACGGGGGATTTTCACCGCCCTAGGTCCTCTCCCTCCCCTCGGCCCGTGGCAACCACTGATCTTTGTACCACCTCCAGTTGGCCTGTCCTATAACGCCGTGGAGCAGAGACCCAACGCTGTACACAGCCTTTACAGAGGGCATCTTTCACGTCGCAGAACGTGTTTAAGGTTCACCCGTGTCCTTCAAGGCTTGATGGGTCCTTTCTTTTTATTCCTGAATAATACTCCATTGTCTGAATGTGCCATCATTTGCCATTCACCTACAGAGGACACCCTGTCTGCTTCCAAGTCCTGGCAATTAGGAATAAAGCTGCTATGAAATCTATGTGTAGGTTTCTGTGTGAACATCAGCACAATTTACCTGGGTAAAGACCAAGCAGTGTGGAGGTCAGCAGGTGTGGTGGTTAAGCGCACTGGACTTGCACATGGCCAACCATGGTTCGAGTCCCTGACCTCGTAGCTTGCTTTCTCATTCTCTCTCACTCTGTTCCTCACTGGTCAAGTAAATAAATAAATAAAGTTAACTAAAATAATTTTTTTTTTAAAAAAGAGACTGTGTGTAGTTTTGTAGGAGCCTGTCCAGCTGTCTTCCAGAGTGGCTGCACCATTTTCTTCCACTGGCAATGAACAAGGGCTTCTGTTGCTCTGTCCCCTTGCTGGCATGTGGTGACAGTGTTCTGGATTTTGGCCACTTTAATAGGTGTGTGGTGGTACCTCAGTGTTGATTCAATTTGCATTTGATTATGATACTGACTGACAGTCTTTCAAGCTTTTCCCTTAAGGCAGGAGACAAGGGACCCAGCAGTGTGTGGCCTGGCAGCAGGGTCAGTTTGATACCTAGACACTGTACACAGTACGGTTTGTGTGTGTGTGTGTGTGTGTGTGTGTTTGTGGGGAGAGAGTAAATTTATCAAAAGTGGGAGTAGATAGGCATTTTTTTTTTTCTTTTCTTCTTCCTTTTTTTTTTTTTTTTCCTTTAGGTTTTTGCTATAGGATGCATATGCTTGCCAGAGGGAAAGTGAGAAATCACCCTCCGGGGGGACTGCCATGCTGCAATCCCTTCTCCTCCAGTCTCCTCTTGGTATTTTCAGCATGCACATGCATGTGTCCGGCATGATTTTCAAGCTGCTGGGTCTGGGACTTGAACCATAGTTGGCCATGTGGGCGTCCAGCGCCTTAACCACTGCATGGTCTGGAAGCTCTGTAGATTCGCATGTGAAACCCCTGCAGTCGGCGCCGGGAAGCCTGCACTGCTGTCCTTGCTTACAGAGTCCTCGCTCTGTCCCTTACACCCAGCCTGCTGCCCTCTTCCTGCTGTGTGCTGGCACCTCTCGCTCCTGCTACCCAGCGTCTGCAAAGGTAACATGCTCCTTCCCATAGCAGCCTACAGGGCTCCCAGGGGCCCCGTGGGGCTCTGACATGGGGTTCAAGACCCACCCAGGTGCCAGCTGATGGTTGCTAGGTACAAAGCCTCACATCCTTCCTTAGGGTCATTTCTCCAGGAAATGTCCCTGCACCCAGCATGGTCAACATTTCCCCTGGCCCAGCCCCTCACCCACCCCTCATATCCAAGGTGCATGCCCTGCCATCCCTTCCAAACAAGCTCGAGCACCTCCGCCCTCACGTAGAAACCAAAGCACCGCTTTAGGCTCTCCCATCCCCAGCTCCTGCTGTTTCCTAACACAGAAAAACAACAAAACTACAGAAACTTAGGACAAAGCCATTCCCATTTTTCCTCTCCCTTTACAACAATGCCAGCCAAGGGCTGACTCCAGACAGCAGTGCTGGGCCTGGGCCCCAGTGACCTCGGAGACCTGGTTTCTGACTGACGCTTGGCTCTCCAATGTCTGTGGCTAAGTTATGCTAGCCTGCCCTCCCCCCCCCC